TATATATATATATATATATATATATATATATACATACATACATAGTATGGTTTTCTCAGCCCCTACCTCGTAATTGCTACATTGGCTAGCAAGAACATACTCAGATTTAATATAGTAAAATAAAATAGTTCCCACTCAACTGTTAAGTCTTTAAGGTCATCAAATTAACTTCTTAAAGTCTATTTTCAACAAATTTAATTAGTTTATTTTAAGAGAGGTAGTAAAAGGAATACTGGATTTAGAGACCGAAAACTTAAATTGTAGTCCTACCTTAATCACATAGCTAAATGGCATTATACAAGTAACTTAAGGTCTCAGAAATTTCCTCCTGTGTGGAAAATAGATGTGAAAACACTTAAGGTGCCATATAAGTAAATAAATATGTCATGGACAAAACTAGGTAATGTAACATTTGTTTTATTCAATATTTTGTTTTCATTGTTGTTGACTTTTTAGTTGGATTTGAACCATCTTAAACGTAATTCTATTTTAAGTGGTTTTACAAACTCGAGCAAGATTCTCATTTTCAGATACGTATACCATTTATAAGGTATATAATATTCAAAATCCTCTTGGTATTTGATTAGTCCTTTTTAGAATGCCTTGAAACTAGGACAGAAGGTAGGTCTGCTTCATAAAATACTTCTCATTAATAAATGGTGTTATAGTGAGCCTTCTTCACTGTGCTGCATTCTGATGAAAACAAGAACCAGTGCTCTTATTTGCAAATTTGCAAAATTTTGGCAGTATTACGACAGGCATGTAGCTTAAAGAATTTATTTAGTGCGAGTTAGTTAATCATATATGGGCTGGTAATATCATTTTCATTTGTGTTTTAGGTGGTCTTGGAGGCATTGGAATGGGACTTGGTCCAGGTGGACAGCCTATTAGTGCCAGCCAGTTGAATATAGGTGGTGTAATGGGAAATTTAGGCCCAAGTGGTGAGTATTCTCACTTTCTTATTTCTTTTTAATGATACATTGCTAAATTTATAAAGCTTACATTTACTAGTTTGTAGTGTTTAAAGGATTCTGTTTTATAGTTGAATATTTAGGATGTCATTTAGCCTAAAAAAAGAATGAAACCTTGAGACCAGAGAACATGAAATAGAGTGAGCACAGGTCAAGAGGGTTCCTCTGAGGCCAGCTGTGTTGTAGCTAGCCGTTTAGCACTTTGGATTTTAAAATGTCTTTGAGGCAGGAGGAGAATGTTTAACATAGTGTCTCGTGTATCATGGATATACAGTATTTGTGGAATGGCTGAAATGCTACCCTATCAAAAGCAAGTTAAATTTGTATTTATAGCTGGGAAGGTAGCTTTTCAGAGAGCTGTTTGGCTCTTTACATGGACTAATTTACAGTTTGTCTCTGAAGATTAGTTTTTAAACCTTGTGGTTTCAGAACCATTTTATTCTCTTCCAATTTGGTGGCGGTCCCAAAGTGCTTTTGTTGACATGGTTATGTTTGTCAGTATTTACTGTGTTAGGAAATAAAACTTAGAAATTCAAAAATATTTACAGATTTATTTAAAATAACAGTTATCGACTTGTATTAACATAAATATAATTTTTAAGAAAATGTTTTATTTTCTGTTACAAAATATTAGTAAACAGAGTGGCATCGTTTTATCTTTTTGGATATCCCTTTAATGTTTGGTTTAAGGCAAGACAGCCATGCTGTTATATCTGCTTCTGCATTTCGTTTGTTATATTGCGTACATCATGTAGTTTCTGGAAAATTACACCTTATATTCATGACAGAATGAGAGTAAACAGTCAAATAATATCTTAATATTACTTGATGAACAAAATAGTTTTGACTTATTGGACCCCAGACCATACTTTGAGAACTGTGTCTTAATTGATAGAGTACTAAATGCTCTCAGATTCCTGTTTTTTGCTGAGATGCTATAGCTAAACTTTAAAAAATCAGTGTAGCTATGGTAATTGGTCTGAATGAAATAGAAACTTTTATTCTTAGGCTCTCTACCTTCCTAAACAAAGGCTTTTTTATTCTTTGTTTTTTTTTACTGCTCCCTTAGCTGCCATGTTGAAAGGAGTCCTTACTTTCTTACTCGATCTCTAAATCTGCTGTGGTGATACTTGTGTGTGTGTGTGTGTGTGTGTGTGTGTGTGTGTGTGTGTGTGTGTTGAAAAAAAAAAATGAACAGTTACCTAGTCCTAGATATTCTCTGCTTGAATGTGTGACCAGTGAATTTTGTTTTCTTATTTAATAAATATTCATAGAGGCCTTTTTGAAGACTCATGATTAGACAGCTGCTGTACATAGCGCTTTAAAGTCTCACACATGTGCCCCACTGCTTCTCTAGCATTCCGTCATGACTAGACCAATGGTATCTTTTGCTGTATTGTGTTATGTCATTCTTTAGTCCTAAAAATAAGATTGACTGAACGTACATACTATGTATTTTATTTGAGGTATGGGAATGGATGGTCCAGGTTTTGGAGGAATGAATAGAATTGGAGGAGGTATGTATAAGCATTTGTTTTTTGTATGTACCCAGTACCATGTTTAGTAAATTAGAAGCTGTGTTGAGAATTCTAAGGGAAAAAAAAGTCATAGTTTATTGTTGGCTCATACCTAAAGGCTGCTAGCAGAAACTGAGCCTAGTACATACTTAAGAGATGGGAAATGATGTGTTAAGCCCCTGCACATGGTAGAGTGGATGAAGAGCTTACTGGTGAGACATAACATTTACAACATGTACCTTTCAGCTATATAGCTAATAGTCAAATCTCAAAATTAATCTTTATTCCGTAGGAATTGGGTTTGGTGGTCTGGAAGCAATGAATAGCATGGGAGGATTTGGAGGAGTTGGCCGAATGGGAGGTAGGTAAATGTAGGAATGGGCACTGTAGAGGTCTCCAGAGGGCATATGGGGCATGGCGGGTAGAGACAGGCATAACAGGACGGGGGATATCATATGGCATGTGAGGTAAGTTGGTAAATCACAGACTTTTTGGTATTTGTGACTTTTGTCATCTTTTCAGTTTACTTTCATTATGTTCCTAAATGGATTACCATGTACTGATACACTTGAAAAAGGGTTAATTTGTTGCATAATCTTTTCAGAGCTGTACCGTGGTGCGATGACTAGTAGCATGGAGAGAGATTTTGGACGTGGTGATATTGGATTAAATCGAGGCTTTGGAGATTCCTTTGGTAGACTTGGTAGGGCTGGCTGCATATTTCTCCTTTTCCTTTTTGCAGATTATGTTTTTCAAAGTCTGTTTCCTTTTTTTGTGAAAAATTGGACATTGATAATGTTTCATGTAATTTATTGATGAAAACCACTTTAGGAATTTTAATGTACTAGCTCTCTTTTTCAGTAAATTACATATTTGAACCTATTTTTAGAAGACGTACACTTTTTGGTTACTGTACAGCTGAGAGCATAGTACCTTGGGAATTTTAAAATATGATTCTTCCAATTAATTAGTATCTTTCCATCCTTGTTTAGGCAGTGCAATGATTGCAGGAAGAATAGGAGCTTCTAACATGGGTCCAGTAGGATCTGGAATAAGTAGGTTTAAATTTTACTAGAATTTATTCAGTAGTATTTGAGTGCTTGCAAAAGACTTTGCAAGAGTAGTTATTATAGTATAGTAATATTTTGTTCTTATGTGTTAATATGTCTTGTCATAATTTAGAGAAACTTTGAGAGTTACTGAGCTTTTCTGTTTGATCACTGTTTGAAATTTCTAAACTAACTTTGAATTTTAACTCTTTGACATTTCTGAACTAACAACAGAGTATGTGTTAACTGTCAGCTAATCCAAGAAGCTCCGTTCCAACTGAGGAATCTGGGGATTTCCTTGATCATGTGTCAGGAGGAACTTTTGCTTTAGCACCAACTTTGTTTCCTTGCCTATTGTCTACAGCTGCTATTGGTGACTAGCTTATTTCATGTGTGAACATCTTGTGTCTTTTGCCCCTGTTACAGCACCTCTAGAGACTTCCTGAGGTTGAGAGCTAAGGTTGAAAGAGATGCTTATTTCCTTTCCTCTTAAACCTTTCCTGTGATAGAATCAAGAGTAGTTGGGGAATGCCACATTTCTTCCACCTGTTTCCTCTACCACATTTTAGGCCTTATGTTAAATCTTAAAACATGGCTCAGTTTTTGATCTCTGTTGCTTACTGAGCCATGTCTCTGTGAGCTCTCCATACTTTATTGACTCCTTTAATTGATTGAAACCTCACAAATAGGAAATACAGCCTACTTAAAGTTTTCTAAGGGCAAATTCAGAAATCCTGTCAGCTGAAGATATTTACTTCCATTTTACCTTGCTTCTCATTCCTTTTCATCATTTTTTTCATCCTTGGCCATTTTCCCAGTAATCATAACTTCCCTACTTTCCTTTTTCACCTCAGTGTTTGTACTTCTGTTTCCCTAACTTTAGATTTGTTATTCATAGAAAGCCAGTGTGAGGGTGGTTAATTTTTGAAATTTCTCCATATGGGGATATTAGGTACAAGAGAAAAGAAAAAGTTTTGGGAATGTATAGGATTGGAATAATTAAAGGGAACTCAGTGCATAAGAATAAATTTGGTATGAGCTTTGAGTTAAATTCTCAAGCTCTGGCTAGAGGGGTGTGATTCCGTGTTTTTCTATCTCCTTAAGTTCTATGTAATATTGAAATTAAAAGTTAAGTTTTCTGTGGTTATTGAAAATTGAATTGATATGAAAAGAGAAATTGCATGTGAAAATACTGAAGATACTGAAGTGAAAATATTATGTAGGAGAGTATGATAAGAGCAACAGTTAATGTGTTGGGAGTTGTAATATATTTTTTTGTTTTAGCAGTTATTACACATGGTATTAAAAAATAAACATGATAAAAACTATAATGTTAATGGATAAAACAGGTAGATAATTTACATAACTTAAATGATGTTATTTTATGATTGGAATAGAATTTTTTAGAAGTATATATGTATGATGTATTAACATAGTGGCTAGAATTAACAGATTCAGTTAGCCATTAGCATTCAACTAACTGAATGTAGATCAAATTAAATTCTATTTCTTGGAAGATTGTTATTTTGTGTGTATGAAAATAATTTTATGTTTATGTATTATCTACTTATATAAATGAATTAATTTTTTTCTCCCTTTCTTTCTCAAAAATGATTCTGTCCCTCCTCTTTCCTTCTTCCTCTTCTTTCTCCTTTTTCTTCCGTTTTTAAAAAAACACCAAAATTCCCCAACCCCCCCTTTCCGTTCTTGAAATCCAGGTGGTGGCATGGGTGGCATGAACAGTGTGACTGGAGGAATGGGGATGGGACTAGACCGGATGAGCTCCAGCTTTGATAGGATGGGACCAGGTATAGGAGCTATACTGGAAAGGAGCATCGATATGGATCGAGGATTTCTATCCGGTCCAATGGGAAGCGGAATGAGAGACAGAATAGGCTCCAAAGGCAACCAGATATTTGTCAGAAATGTAAGCAACTAAACGTAAAGGATACTTAAAATTATTTTTTTCTTTGTATATCTGTTACTAATACCTTTTTTCATTCTAGCTGCCTTTTGACTTGACTTGGCAGAAACTAAAAGAGAAATTCAGTCAGTGTGGTAAGTATACTAATGACTGCAGATATGATAATATTGATTACAGAGGAAAAACTGATTTTAAACCTTTAAACACTGTGTTTAGACCTTACCTGTCCAGAAGCCTGTTCCTGGATAGTATGACAGGTCTAATTCCACTTGAAATAAATTACGCTGCTCTCCTCTGACAAGGAGCAGTGCAAATTACTTCTAAAATAACAAGATTTAGAGTAGAGCCTGTCATTGTCTTCTGTGGAGAAAGAGAGGGCTTGCTTTATTACCTGATTTTTAAAAGGTTAGTATATCATCATTGCTTGCGTTTAAAAAGATTTTTTTCTGTGGAAAGTACTAATGAAGGGTATACTTATTTCCTTGTTTATAGTGGAGTGCAGTGCATTGCCACCATGACCCCAAAAATGCTGACATCCAAATGATGTGGGAGTCCATCGACGAGACCCATTCTGCACATTGTTTCCTGTACAATACAGGAAACTTAGCTGATAGCAGAGAACCCACTGCCTGGAGTTCCTTAGATGGGTACATTCTGGTGGCCCTTCTAGCTCTTTTATAAACTGTTCTTGGCTGCGATGGGCACTATCTACAATCTTGATATGTTCGTTAGGTCTGTAGAAGATTAGGTGGTTTTACTACTTGAAAAGGGGACTTTTGCTGCTGAGAGAAATAGTGTGAGTGGAACAGCGTAACAGATTTCCTGCCAGTGTTTTTCTGCTGTTGCATGGTATCCCAGAGACTCTCTGATCACAATAGTAAGCTATATGGGTGGCCTGTAGTGATGAAAGGAAACTAAAAGTGGTACATTCAGTTCTTGAGAGTTGACAGAAAGTTAAGAGTATTTGGAATATATATTTACTTTTTTTGAGATCACGAAGGGGATAAGTTTAGTGTTCTCCCACAAAAGTAGCCTTCAGCTCTTCTCATAAAGTGGTGGTGATCACTTAGGATCATGTGGATATCATCTGTGTTCTGAGTACCTGACTCTGTTGTAGTAATCTGTTCATAGGTTGTTTTTTTTTTTTTTTTAATGTTTATTTTTTGAGAGAGAGAGAGTGTGAACAGGGGAGGGGCAGAGAGAGAGGGAGACACAGAATCCGAAGCAGGCTCCAGGCTCTGAGCTGTCATCACAGACAGCTGATGCGGGGCTGAAACCCACGAACTGTGAGACCATGACCTGAGCCGAATTCGGACACTCAACTGACTGAGCTACCCAGGTGCCCCTGTTCATAGGTTTTCTTCCCTCTTAGAATAGAGGCTTTTGATGCAGGAACTGCATCGTTTCATTCTAACATTTTTCATTGTCTCAGTATATATAGGAAGAGTTTATTAAATGTTTATGAGTGAGTTAAGTTTTCTGAGCAGATCTTCATTCATTTATTCAGTTACTTATTCAGTCAGTCAGTCTACAAATAGTATGTTTTTGGCAGTCTGCTTGTCATTAGAATTAGACATACAAACAGTGAAAGATAGTATCCTTGCCTTCAAGGAACATGCAGTGTGAATCTGTCAAAGATGTTCTTTTGACTCCTTTTGTTGATTATCTTTTTTTTTTGGCTTTCATGTATATTCAAATAAGAGAAACTTAATGTTTTTTAATTGTAAAAATGTTAAAAATGAGGTAACTATTAAAACAGTTACCATGAACAGAAAACAGAATTGTAATGTTGTTTTCCAGTGTTGGTAGTGTTTGTAGGAGTAAGAGGATCTATCAGGATGAGTCAGCAACATCTGGCCATGAACCCCATAGACTGCAAAAGAATGGACATGTTAGGGCCTTAGTGAATACATCAAATGAGGAGCAGTGGCGGCAGGTATAGGTCATATCTGTTGTAGTTTCAGTGAAAAAAAACAGCGCCAAATGAGATAAATGACATTTTTCAAAGTAGAACTGAGACACGAAAAGAACAAAGTGTAGTACACAAATGACATTACTGAAAATGTGACCAATATTGATTTGACTTTTCTTTAGCAGATGTGTAGCAGGCACATTTCTTTTTGAGGTCACATGTGAGCAAGGCTTGCAGCAACTTTGAGGTCTTGTATGGAGATTCTTGTTGGAGTGGCATTGATTTGATAGATGGACATTAACAATTCAGACGTTTTTCTGAAAGGAAAAAAGTAGTATCCAATTCTACATTTAAAAAATGTGTACAGCATTTTAGCTAATAAAATGAAAGGTGGGGGCACCTGGGTGGCTCAGTCAGTTAAGTGTCTGACTTCGTCTCAGGTCATGATCTCGCAGTTTGTGAGTTCGAGCCTGGCATCAGGCTCTGTGCTGACAGCTCAGAGCCTGGAGTCTGCTTTGGATTGTCTGTCTCCCTCTCTCTATGCCCCTCTCCCATGCTGGCTCTCTGTCTCTCTCTCAAAAATAAATAATCATTAAAAAATTTAAAAAATAAAATTATTTTTTTAAAGAAATTATTATTCTTTATTTTCGCTCTCCTCTTAGGTCCTTTATTAATCTGTAGTATCGTGAGTGTAATGATTTTTATTTTTCTTACCAATTCTATTGTAAAAGCTTCTGATTTTTATTTAGATTTATATTAAAGTAATGCCATATTTAAATAATTCCCCACCATCTTCCTCTTTTTAACCTTAAAATGCATTGATGGTAAAGAAAATAAGTTATGGGAATATAGAGTTAAGTGTTCAGCTATTGGCAACTATGGAAGTTACCTGGCTTATATGAATTGAACTATCCATTTTTCTGTCACAGCACTTTATTTTCAAATCTTAAGAGAGTTTTTTCTTTCTTAGTATGAGAAGTTTCTTTCTAACCTGTTCCAAGTCAATAATGACCTCTTTCACAGTAAAAGTCAGTTTTGTTGTTGTTTTTTTCCCCCTTGAGCCCAAAGTGAGTAAGTATATCCTTTTGGTTGCTTCTTAGTAAAAGTCTAGTGGTACTCCATGCATCTTCCCCAGACAGTATCTGTCGGTAAATGGCTCACCAGCAAAGCCTTCTGCTTACCAAATGTCTATACAAATCTTCCTTGACTTACAATGGGGTTACATTCCAACAAACCCATCCTAAGTTGAAAATATAGTAAGGTGAAAATGCATTTAATTACACTTAGCCTACTGAACATCATAGCCTCACCTAGCGTACCTTAAACGTGCTCAGAACACTTATATTAGCTTATAGTTGGGCAGAATCCTCTAACACAAAGCTTACTTTATAATAAGGTGCTGAATATATCATGTATCATTGATTAAATATATATCATGAATATATCATTGATTAAATACTATACTGAGTGTGAAAAATAGAGTGGTTGTGTGGGTCCAGAATGGTTATAAATGTATGGCTTGTTTACCCCTGTGTTTGCCTGACTTACTGAGAGTTGTGGTTCATGGCTGCCACCCACTAGTATCATACCACATACCACTAGCCTGAGAAAAGATCAAAATTCAAAGTACAGTTTCTACTGCGTATCACTTTTGCATCATCATGATGTTGAAAATTGTAAATTGAACCATTATAAGCTGGGACCATCTATAGTGGTTAACTGTCCTTGATGGGGCAAATACAGAGGCCAAGAAAATGTATTTTAGGTTATACTACCTCAGTACAATATTTCTTCATACTTTGTAATTTGGGGGAAATTGTGTTCACATATCCCCAAACATAACAACATGAAGAATGAGTGTAGTAAAATAGATCTTTTTTTAATCCTACCCTATGTAATTCCTCAGTGACATGAATTTTTAAGAAGGCTGAGTATAAATAAATTAACAACCATTCAGAGTTAGTTGTAGTTTGTGCTAACGGACTCATATAGACATAGTCTTTCAAACTTGCTCCTGTATTTATTACACACTTTAGCTATACTCTGACTTGGCTTGGTATGAGGCAGGATCATAAGATTTTAGAACTGCAGTGCAAGGAAAGCCTGTTGAATTATTCCTGCTATAAACCATGTAAACAAATATAACTTTGATCCACAGATTTCCATTATGTAGTTTTCTGGATCAGTATGCTTGTTAACTGGCTAGAAAATATGAGACTTGGGTTAGATTTTATTTACTAAACCACGTGCTGCTTCAAGGATGACTAGTCGACTTTAACTCTGGCATATTTTAATAGTAAAACAATGCAGTAACAGTAAAAATAATATATGAAGAGCATTCATTGATAGGTCCTTTTGTTTGTAAAGAAACACTAAAACTTTGTTTTTTGTCCCTTATATCATAATTACAGCTTCTTATAGAGTATCTGATTTTGCTTTTTTCTTTTGTGGTTATGTTACACTTTCACTTTGGTAATGGCTTTTATTGAACCATTTATTTATTTTTGCTTTAATTTTGTCTATTTTTAGATAATGTTTTTATATCAGCATTTCCCAAAGCATACCCACAGGATGTTAATAGGCTGGATTAAATAAAGTGAAAAGGTTTCTTTCACTGCAGGATAAGTCATTTTTTAACTAGTATATGTAACAGCAATATGTTTGATTATTCTGTTGTACTGATTTCTCATTGCGTACTATTTTGTCCTATACTATTATTAAAACAGCAGTTCTATTTTCGTTTTTCTTGGAATCACACAAGATCAGTAGATATTTAAGTCATTTAAGAAAGTCCTCAGACTTTGTAATATGTAAATATAGCCAAGGGGGTCTGATTTTAATTATTGGAAACTAAATTTTTTTCTCCTCAATTATTTATCTTTAGAAAAGTAAATTATCTCAGTTGGTGTTTTTATGGGATTAGAAAACGTAAAACGCTTTCTGGTTCTATGCCTTGTGGGAGTTTTGAACAGTCTTACCATGAAACAAGTATCTATAAGCCACTTTCTGTAGCCTGAGTGTTCAGACTGCAAGAATGTGGAAGCATTTTGGTGGAGAGACCTTGTCAGATTGAAAAGCTGTGAGATCATGGTGGGGTCAGGAATTTGGGAGTCTGACTGTTGATTCCTAAACTGATAGAGACAATTTAAGAGAAGAAAGAGAGAGAGAAACTTGAAAGATTGAGACAGATTTTGCTTGAGATAATTACGTATTTTCCTTTGAAGTTTTGAAGATTTCTTGGCTTGAGTAAAACTTACTATTGCTAATAAAGCTGATGTTAAGAGAAGCCCTAAGTTTTTATGAAAGGTGAAAGTAGATAAGGAAGAACCTCTAACTTTAAAAGCCCTTGAAAATTCTCCACAGTAATCCACCAAAATCACTGTACTGTGCTGTCTTTGACCAAGGTATGCTTTAATTAAACTTGCTTTTTCCAGGTCTCAGCATTCACAATATTAAGAGGACTCTGGAAATTGCTCTGCATCTATCTTTAAAGTTTTTTAAAGTTTCATTTTATGTTGTTTATTAGAAAATGTGATTTCTATGTTTTTTGTTTTGTTTTAACGAATTGTAGGTTGGTTATATATTGTTTGAATTTACTTTAACCATGATAATATAATTTTTTCTGGGGATTAGTATGTTTTATAACTTCTAGAACAGTTAAAGGCTCCCTGGCCTCGGTTACAAGATCATGGTTTTGACTCATGACATTTATTAACTTGGACCATTTAGTTAGGGTGAGCAGTTGATTACCAGTTGGTTTAAAAAAATGCAGTAAGGGTGGGATTGGGGAAATGGTTGAAAAAACAAAAACAGAGTAGTCCAGGATGTTATAGATAATAAATCATTCAGATCAAGATTTAAACAGAAAAAAAAATTTTTTTTCTACTCCTGCATTGAAGTTAAAATAGATCCTATCACCTGGGAAAGGGCTTATGCAATTTTTTTTTTTTTTAATAAGGCTTTTACTATCTCCCTCTCCTTTTTTGTCCCTTTATAGAACTAAATATGTTTGGCTTTCTAAATATGTTGCTAGACTAAAATTAGCCTGTAGTGATTTGGCCACTATATAATATTCAAGGAAAGGAAATATGGTAAGTGGGCACACAACTCCCCTAAATGTGTGTGGATCTGATGATAATACATCCCAGTTTGCCTGGGGATAGTCTCCTTTTCATCTGTTATTTGTGTGTAATTACTAATCACTCTCCATTTTACTCTCAAAGGTGTTCTGGTTTGGGTGGTGGATGTTTATGGATATTTTGTAATTTGATGAATGATTTGATGAATATCAGCAGTGATATTACCTATATATGCAATAATTGTCTGATTTTCTTCCTCCTCGAAGCTTCTCTGAGGTTCTTCTTTGGGCCTTACCATCACTGTTACTTCTATTGATTTAATCTATGCTATCTCTTCCATGCGTATTTCCATAACCTATTTGGTACCACTCTTACACTGGAGTTCAAATTGTGGTATTGAATAAATAAAATGGCACTATGGTCAATAAGTAGAATTAGTGGGGCCCTTTTTGGCCTGGTAAAAATTGAAATTCTGGGCAGTTGCTACTATTTGCAGTGGTGAAATAATGAAAAGGAAGATAAAAGGGAAAGGAGAGATTGGGGAGATTGGGCAGAAAGTGAAAAAAAAATTTTTTTTTTCTAAAACTAATTTTGTTCATATTTGTAAGTTTGTTATTGTGCATGGTGACTTGCTGGCATTTTATGCTGTTTGCCTTGCTGCTATAAATTTACTTCAGAAACTAAGAATTTAAAAATATTTTTTTATATTCTACTTTAATAAAATATTAAATCCTAAGCAAATTTATTTTTATTCCTATTTTGTATACTTTAACATGTTTATATTCAGAATGTAAAATGATGAGAATAATGTTTATATGATGTTATTTTTAAATCATTAATATTTTTAGCCAGCTATTTATCATTTCATTGGCTATGAGGAATATCAGACCTGTGTAGTGAGATGAAATCCACTTAAACTGACTAGTAATTTTATAATTTTTCTTTCACAGGTCATGTAATGTTTGCAGAAATAAAAATGGAGAATGGAAAGTCAAAAGGCTGTGGAACAGTCAGATTTGACTCCCCAGAATCAGCTGAAAAAGCATGCAGAATAATGAATGGCATAAAAATCAGTGGCAGAGAAATCGATGTTCGCTTGGATCGTAATGCGTAATTTTAAACTGCGGTTGGAACATTCTTACATCTGTTTTGCTGAATCTCCTAGAAAAAGTCATTTTTTTTAGTAATACTGTATGCTTACAAAAGCTGTAAAAATGAACTTTTAAAACTCCCACCAGCTTTTAACAGTATAGTGTTAAATATACTGTGGTTTTTGTTAATCTCAAGTTTGGGTTTTTAAAGACAGCAAGTTGGTCATTCAGTTTAAATGAATGGTTATACTGTTTTTAATGAAATAAGCCATTTTTCTTGTTGTTACTTTCAGTACTACATAGTGGGATTTGTCCAAATTTCCTCAACTTTTATCAACTTACTGTAAGGTAAAACAGATGGTTTTTTCAAAACTTCCATTTTGTATATGTAATTGTCCTTGAAAAGAAAGGGCTCAGACAAATTAGGATGTGATTTTGGGTTGGTTTTAAATTACTTTTCTTTGGTGATGAAGAATTACTGTAAGTAAGTTTTAGATTCTAAAGTTCAGGATATTTTTTATTTGACTTAAATGAAGAAATGGAGTTTTCCTGCTCTTCCTTCTCCCATCATCCACATTTTCCACATAACCCTATTAATATCAACCTCCACAGCCCCTTATTTTATTATTTCCGATGATTCCAAGTTCATATAGAACCGATAATGTGGTAATCCCCAAGTATAATAATAGGCAGACTACTCCCAGCTTTCTGTCTAGTTTCCAGCCATTGAAGTGAACTGCTGAAAAAAGGAAAATAATAGAAATGTTGAGAGAGATGGTTATGTAAGTTAGTCCTCTGCTGTTCACTTCTACAGGAGCTGATGCATTTATAAATGCAGTTTTAATAAACCATGGAACACCTAGGCACAGCATATCAAACACATTGGATCCCACGATGTTAGACATAGCCATATCTCCTTTGCCTGCAAAACAAAACAAAACAAAAAAAAGCATGTTGTTAAAATGTGCACACCAATGCTGTATTTTTATTAATAAGCTTCATAAAAAAACACTGGAAATTTTTTTTGTTTGTTGGTTTTGGAAAATTGTTATTAGAACAAAAGTCTTACTGAATTTGTATTTTTTAATTTTGGGGGGGTTAGTATTTAAAGTCTTAACATTTATTTAATAATAATTATCTTTATTTATTAAACCATTTTTCAATAAGGTCTGTAGATTACTTGTTGCTTTTCATTCTCATTTAATATGGTTAATTATGATTTAATGCACATTTCAGATGAGTATTATTTGGGGGTTAGATTTAGTGAAGTTAATCTGCAATGAAATAGTAAACCCTTCCTCTTGAGTCACTCTTTTTTTTTTTCTTCAAAGTATGCTGAGGAAATTTTTTTTTTAATGTTTATTCATTTTTGAGAGATAGACTGAGCGAGGGGCGGGGCAGAGAGAGAGGGAGACAGAATCTGAAGCAGGCTCCAGGCTCCGAGCTGTCAGCACAGAGCCTGATGCGAGTCTCCAACTCACGAATCATGAGATCATGACCTGAGCTGAAGTCGGACGATTAACCGACTGAGCCACCCGGGTGCCCTGAGGAAATAAATATTTTTAAAGGTACTTTTGCTCAGTGTATTTCAGCCAGGTTTGAAGAATGGGCATTGCAGCACGAGGGACCTAGCTCTTACCTTTTCTTGCAACCAACACACTGGCAATCGTGTCTGGCAGGCTTGTTCCTGCTGCTAATAAAGTAAGGCCCATTACTGTGTCTGGAATTTCTAATGTTTCCCCTATAATAAACATAGATACTACAAGTTACAAATCTTATAGATTCAATAACCATTCTCTGCAGTTATTTCAGATATTTCCTTCCTGAACAAAAAGAAAATAGACACATTTAGATTTCACAACCAATATGTACTTAGATTTCAGCTAGAAAAATATTTGAATAAGACTGGTAAATTGGGTAATACAGGTAGTACAGATTTTTAATGATAGATATCTAAAGATATTTAATAGACAAAATTCTACTAAGGAATAATTCCCCTGCCTGATAATGCCTACCAAAGGTTTGGATGTTCATTATTAACTGATCAAGGTTGTTGCTTAATATATGCTAATGATAAGATTGGTTATTTTCTCTTTTGCAAAGCATTTTCTTAAAGTGGTCAGAATTAAACAAGTTGTTTATAGCTATTTTTAACCTATAAATGTGTTAACATGGTACACATTTTTTAGGTCCTACTTTGGTGATATACCTTAAACAAAGGAAAACAAAAATCGGGTTCTACCTGAATCTTCCTAACATCATGTTCCCGATTTATTAATCCTTCTGTTAAGTTTGATGTCAGTGCAGCATTTTCCAGAAATGTGTTCAGAAACAGAATCAGAGGGAAGTTAAATAAAAAAACATGTAACTCCTCTTTTAATGTTGCAATTGAATACTTACCTTAAAGTCTTTTTCTTAAAATGTCAATTAAAAGTACTTTAAGTAGCTGTTTATTGCATGCTTTATATATTGACATTGGAATTATAGTTGGTTGTTAATTTTTGTTACTGGTTTGCCAGAGTTCATATGTACATAAATAACACTAATATTTATCATCTTGGGGGCTGTTCTATGATCTGTTACTTGATTTTGCTCTTTTCCTGATTTCCTATTGTTAAGTATATTCTGGCTGAGAAAATTTGGAGAGATTTAATATGCAAGCTAATTGGACTTTTTCATCCTTGTCATTAAAAGAAAAGAAATACTCTGCTCTTTGCTAGCATGCTATTCTAAGTCATACATTAATTTGGGGAAAGTCAGAGATCGGCAAGCTTTTTTTGTAAAGGGCCATGTAGTAATTATTTTAGGCAATGCAGGCTATATGGTTTCTGTTGCAAATATTCACCTCTGCCATTTCAGTGTGAGAACATCCACAGATAATATATAATGATTGGGTGTGATTATGTTCAGTAAAACTTAATGAGCAAAAACAGGAGTCTTGACAGTTTGGGCACACAGACCATAGTTTGCTCACCTCTGATATGTTCATTTGGGTTAACCTTTCTGGGAGAAATCCTTGATTTTTTTTTTTCCTATGTTTATATTCAGTGTTTTTCTTTTGGAGTTCTCTGAAACTAGAGCTGATTATGGCCAGCGGTAATATTTAAATTTTAATCATGAAGGTAGTAGAAACCTAAACTTAAATTTTATTTTACGTACTTTTTACCCATTTCGTAGTTGGTTTGTATTGCCATATCCAAAAGCAAAGTGAAATGTAATCCAGTTAAACAGTGAACATGCACTGTTTTCTCAAAATATTGTCCCTTTGCTATATTTTTCATTGTGGAGTAGAATTCAGTGGATAGAGCATATTGTAGACCCCATACAATGTGATTTAATTATTAGCATAATAGGAGGACATCCTGTGTACTTGATTTCATTTATAAGAAGATCCCTTGACTTGTAACTCTAGGCTGTATAATATTTGAGAATATAGTTGGTATGTAATACACAACTTACAAACCCCTGAATGATCTTGCTGGTATATTAATATTTAATCTTTTTGTAAATAGCAGTTATCTTTAGTCTTTGTGGAAAGAGAAATTCCTCCTTAGCTAGACTTTTAGTGAATATAAGCAGTTCTTCTGTGAAACTGATTATTTTCTTTTTTAAATTGTGCTCTTGTACTAAAGATACTTACCAGTTATTGTGACCATCCAAACCAGGATATATGTAAATGCGGATATCCATAGTGCCGACACGAAAAAGGTTATCATAAAGTAATTTTTCCAAAACTTTCTTCTACAATCTGGTGTGGTTAGAAAAAGTAAGGTAATGATAGGAAGGGATAGTACCCAAAAAATTCTTTTTAAGTCTGCTTCAGGCATGTTGAAAACACTTGGTGGATCTGTTGAGGAAAAAATAAATGATTTTGAGTTTTCTCAAATGGCCAATTAAGTTGGAAATGTCCATTTAGAAAGCTATATTGAAATAAATTAGCTGTATCAGTTTCTAAGAGGCTATTTAAAACATTTGAATACCTCATTACTGATATTGCTGGCAAAAAGGAACTAATTGAGACTTTAGGGCAGACAGTATAAAATGCGATACTCAGCATTTCTTGATTTGGGACCTAAAAATCCATCAAAATATCTTGGATCATTCAGTAAATGTATTAGACATAATGCTTATTAAGTGTCAGTTGGACTTCTCTTGGTTTTCTACAATATGAATGGTTTTTAGTAACTTTTTTTGCTTATGGGTCTAACTTGCCTTCTACCTATTATAGCTAATATAGTTGTCTCTGTCCTCCAGTATTGATGATGTCTCTAGCCTGCCCTGTGTATCAGATAATGCATACTTACGATGTATAAAACAATTATAGCATAATATTTTTATTAAGTTGAATATTCCATTCTAAATATCATTGTGATTTTTGGGGGGCTTCAAGTTTTCTTTCTTAACATTTATTTGTTAAACTTGGAATTCACTATAATTCTTAGGAAGAGCCTTTAAGAAAATAGGAACTAGTATGGAATCTACAATATAACTTATAAAACTTGAGTATGTTCTTTTATTTAATTTGTTTTGTTAAGTTAGTGGAAGACAAATATATTGGATAAAAATAAGAGTTCACTTTAAAATTATTTAAAATTTGCATGGCATTTACAAAATAATGTACTATATTGTAATGTACCATAATAATGTAGCCATGTATTGGATCAAATTACATTACAACTAATGCCAGTAAAATAACTCATGAAAAAATTTGCAAAGCTTCAGCCAATGGACCATTAAATAATATTAGATATAATTTTAGTGTAATGAAAAGATTCTTTTGGTTCTTTTGAATTTCTTGTTAAAAAATTTAACTTAGCAATATGCCACTTGCACCTGAATGTCTAGAAACTAATTTTTATAAGAAGGGGAAATGTCATGTTGTAATTTTTTTAGGTAGTAAATTAGAATAGCTTCCTAATGTACTTAGGTAAATTTAGAATCTGTTTCATACAACCACTTTGTAGAAAACTAATGCATAAATTTCTGTTTCTGGCCCTAGATGAACTTCTACTAAACGCATTTA